AATTTACATACACAACACCCAATTCTTTTGCATTTATCTATCTCATAACAAAACTGTCATTTTTATAAACCCGACACTCAATTCACACTTTTTAATAGTATTGAACAGTGAAATCCACATTTTCATACATACGTTGGGTGTTGCGTTTGTAAAAATCAAAGTTTTGGTGTGAGATACGTAATTGTATAAGAATTGGGTGCTACGTATGTAAATTTCCATTTATATTAATATTTTTAAATGGGTCAGCTCAAGAGTTTGTGTCAAGTACGGGTTGGCTGAGACTCAAAGTTTTAGGTCATCGGGCATGGCTTAAGAGTTATTATCAATCCAAGCTTGAGGTGGTCGCGAGTCAGCTTTTCTCAGTTGCACTCCTACTAATGGAAACCATACATACCTACATACCTTTTATATTTAGACACCCACTTCAAATTCCTAATCCTTTAAGCCTTCAAAGTCAGAAGCAAAGTTGTAGGCCTTACTTTCTCTTCAAAGTTAGAAATATTGGAAAGTTGAAATTGGGATTTAAGACTAAGGATTGCTAAACGTGATCAAGTATTCCATGCATGATGATGAAATGCAAATCACATGAAAGTTTTGTAGGTAAATATAAAGCCAACGTCCCTGTTTTTGCATGAGAGGGTTTGCCATCATTCTTGACAAAGCAATAGAAAGGAATCAATCTACAAATTTTGGAGCGAGATGAGACAATTGGTTGATCGATCATTTTTTTTCCTTTCGAAAATGACCTTTATATATTAGATCCAAGCTATCTTGTAGTTGGCTTTTTGTTTACACTTGATCATTAGCTTGAGGCTTTGATATATTTGAAAGTTTGTAGCGTGTCTTAGGGTTGCTATTAAGAAAATAATCTAGAATGAAAAGACAGATTATAGAGATAGATTTAAATCAAAAGGTTAAATGAAACTTATGTCAACGTATTTCCTTTAGCAGGTATATGATGGAAAATAATGCATGACGCATCTTTGGAAACATTTATCAAGCAAATGTCACCATGGTATACGAAAACAAGAACTTAAAATCAACCTAGAAAAATCCTATGGAATATTGAATGAAGTATAAAATATTGTTCAATTAAATCATGTATAAATAGTTAGCTCAAAACCTATATTGGTAGTCTTGATGTATTCATATTGCTAATTCCAAACTTATTTTTTATTATAAAGAGCTTGGAACTGACAAAGAGGGTTACTTTTTTTGAAGAGAGAGAAAAGATTATTGAATCAAAACAACGCAACGCTAATTAGAAAAATAAAGATAATTAGAAAAAATAACTTGTTGGAAATCATCTCTTATTTTCTTATATTCTCTACTAACATATCCCCCCAAAAGCCTTCTCTCTTGGATGGATGGTGGACTATAAATGTAAGTATCTGTTGGGTATATTCCTGCTGTAGAATTCCCCTATGATGCTCTGTTGCATTGAATCTGTTAGACCTCAATTGCTTCCTTGGATTTGACAAAACAATGACACTCATTTCATCTTCCAATGAGAGTCAATCCCTTTTGTTCTATAAATTTTTTTATTTATATGTTAGACAAAAAGCATGAAAAAATACATGCATTTTAATTACTCTGTATTTCTAACGTGTAGGTGGTTAAAAACATCCTACCAAAAAACACCTTTAATATATTTAATTGAGTATAGTCTTGAAAAGTCATGGCATTTTGTAACATATTAATTATTGTAGTAATTAATGATGTTTTTACTCCTATATGGAGGCTAGGTCAAGCTAAGAAACTTGGTGGTATGCCTTGCCAGCCAACATATGTTTCTTGTGGTAAATGAGTAGCTTTATGTTATGCCCTCGCTTACGCAGGTCCAGGAAGAACTGTTTTGGACCATCTCTTCCCAGTCGGAGGCAAATCGGCTGAACGAGCAGGAAGGAGAGGGCGATCCTTGTTCCGTTTTTCAGGGGGTGGGCTGGTTTTCCCTTGTATATATTGCAATTTGTTCGGTATTTTTTGCTCCGATTCGTATCGTCTTCTTTTGCTGCAACCCCCATTGTTAGCCGCGAAAGCTTGAGTTGAGCTGAGGTGGCAATAGGGAGCGTACAAATAAATAATTTGTAATGAGATAAAGAGATGAAAATACGCCACTTGCGCTGGTCTCTCAATGAGGAGATGGGCGGGCTTTGAACAATGAGAGTTGAGAGGCAAAGAGATAGAGAAACTACCTACGAGAGAGAAATACACTAGATATAATTGTTATTCAGTTGACATACACCCATTTTTCCATTAACGAGAGAATTATTATTGATTTTAAGCATAAAGTTGCAAGTATTGATAGTAAGAAAGGGAAAATGATCTTCCGTTCCTAGGGCATCTAAAATTTGTGGAGTGACGATCTACCTCTAGAATAGTAGATCAACCCTTGGATTCTATTTGTTTGCTTTGATATTAGTAAAATTTACTTGAATTTGGGTTTTCCCACATATATATTGCAATTTGTTCGCTATTTTTTGGCTTCGATTCGTATCGCCTTCTTTTGTTGCAACCCCTATTGTTAGCCGCGAAAGCTCGATTTGAGTTGCAGTGGCAACTGGGAGCATACAAATAAATAGTTCGTAATGAGATAAAGAGATGAGAATATGCCACTTGCACTGGTCTCTCAATGAGAAGATGGCTCGGCTTTGAACAATGAGAGTTGAGAGGGAAAGAGAGCAACTACATACGAGAGAGAAATACACTAGAGATATAATTGTTTTTCAATTGACCTGCACCCATTTCTCCATTAACGAGAGAATTATTATTGATTTTAAGCATGAAGTTGCAAGTATTGATAGTAAGAAAGGGAAAATGATCTTCTAATCAAAGCTAGAAAATGTTTTTTGTATGGGAATTAAAGAAGTTGCAATGAATTTTGATTAGTTGATTATTTCTAATCACATTTGATGTAAGAGTGGCTTAAATAACTTTGGGATTTCAAAGTCATTTTAAATAATAAGCGCAAGAAGGATATAGAATTTAATTCTGCTTTTTTGGGACTAGTTGAGTCAAATGGTTTATCATGAGAGAGGTTGGAAAATTTTCCTGATCATCATAGATTCACTTGCTATCATTATCAGAAATTCACTAAGCTAATCCTTTCTGTTCTAAGCCTTGAGTCGTTTTCTTCTGATCCGCTAAAAATTTTTGATCTGCCTAAAGTTTTCTCATGTGTAGAATGAAGGTATTCATTAATTTATCCTTTGTGATATGTTAGGGTTAAAGCCTTTAATGTCCTTAGACTCGCATTCATTTCCCCTTCTATATTCAAGAAATCAGACCTCTTACAATTAATTATGTAATTAGATTGCCTCATTATTGCTCTTTGCTTTTGTAAATTGAAACTTACTATACAAGGAAACATCAAGATTATCGTGGCAGTCAGGGAGGCAAACCTTATATTTGCAGGCTAGTTGATACCATGTATATGCGATTTTTGTCATTTATTTGAAATGGTTTCTAAAAAAAAAAATGCTTGCTTTTCTATATTGCTATTATGTTGAGAGCCATTATTATTTTCATGATTTTTTTTTTATTTTTGAATGTGATTATTATATTTTTTAGTTTAATGTAACATCCTTTAGAAGGTTTTGAGATTTCTTAAGACCTAAGGACTTCTTGATTTCCAAATGCCAATTAAGTGGGCATCTCTCAACTTACACAAATTATTCGACTTTCATGTCTTTTTTTATTTACCTCTCTTTTTAAAATAGGAGAAGGAGGTCACTACAATCATCCCCGTTTCTTCCAAATGTTGCTTCCTTCTTGCCTCATAATATGCATAGATCCACTCTTGATGGAGTCCTATTGAGCCATCAATTTTACCTCAGTATTTTGTGAGGCTTGGATGGTGTACTTTACCATCTTCGTGAGGGTCTTAAACTATTGAGGGGTTTATATGTCTCGCCTACTTTGTGGGAATTAAGGAAGGACAAGTTTCTGAACATATTTATTATTGCAGACATTTGTTTCTACAAAAATCAATTCAGAAGTTGATTGACTCTACCTATTTTTTAATGCTTATATGAATTTCCTTTTTTACTTCATCAACTCAAATAATGTTGATTATTACTATTTGATTGTGACATTTTTGTATTGGTCATTTAATTGTCTTCTTAGGCATTTTCATTTGATGAGAGATAATTGTTGAATTTATGCTTCAATCATAGCAATAACTTAATGCATTCGTGTCTAGGTTTTGTATTGTTGGATTTGTTTACTTATGACCCTCTGTTAACAAAGAACTTAAGTCACATTGATCATATTTATTATTACAGACATTTGTTTCTACAAAAATCAATTCAGAAGTTGATTGACTCTACCTATTTTTTAATCCTGTCATTGATGCTTATATGAATTACCTTTTTTACTTCATCAACTCAAATAATGTTGATTATTACTATTTAATTGTGACATTTTTGTATTGGTCATTTAATTGTCTTCTTAGGCATTTTCATTTGATGAGAGATAATTGTTGAATTTATGCTTCAATCATAGCAATAACTTAATTCACTCGTGTCAAGGTTTTGTATTGTTGGATCTGTTAACAAAGAACTTAAGTCACATTGATCGAGGCTCTATACTATTAGATCTATCTCTCTGTAACTCTTGGATTATAATCCATGTGCTTTTTTAAAGAATTGTCGAACCTAATTTATTTTTCTCTTTTTTTTTAGTTTTATTCCTATTTTGTAATGCTTATGGGAGACGTATATGTATCTCCTCTCTTATACAAAGAAAAGTGAAGACTCATGAGAGTTTTTTTAAATCATTTATTTTCTACATGGTATCAAAGCAAGTTTAGGTGTTCCTTCTAGTCTTTGTTCTTATTCTCTAAGGTTAGGATTTTCACTTTCAATTTTTTTGTTTTTATTGTTTAAGGTTAGAGTCTCACTTCAAACCTTTGTTATTATTTTCATGGTTAGGGTTTCCAATATTAACCTTATTCTCTTATCGAATTCTCTTTCGATTCACTATGTCAGGTTTCTTTGATTTTCTTTCAAAAGAATCGACTATGACTAATGGTGAAAATCAGGCTAAAAAAGATCTTCAGGTATTTCAAGCATCTTATCGTTTGAACGGGAAAAAATTAACGTAAATGGCCCTAAATCGTGAAGACATTTCTAAAGTAAAATGGAAATATAAAAAATCTTGTGGATTTACCTTAAGAGCCTAAAGATCCTAAGTTGTTGCTTTGGAAAGAAATTGTTTCTATTCTCATGAAATGGTTGTGAAGCTCCATGCTATCGGAAATCAGTGGGTCTTTTTTGTTTATCTCCCCACAAACGTATGTTATGGACCTATTGAAAAAAACCATAATGACAGAGTACAAATTGTGTGAAACTACAACTGAACTATGACACAAAATTAGATTTTGATGAAATAACCAACGTTTATAAGGGACAATATCAAAGGAAATCAACTAGCCAATACATTCACCAAAGGACTCCGCAACCCAACATATTAAAAATATCTTGAGAAAACTTGAAATGGTTGATCTCTACTATTCACTTTGAGGCAGGGGTGTTGAATTTCTACTCTAATTATGACAAAGAATTTATGCACACGAGTCAAAGCTTTGTGCCTTTGGATTTGTTTACTTATGACCCTTGGATAACAAAGAACTTAAGGCCCACGAATCGAGGCTATGTGTCATTAGATTTGTCTATCTATGACTCTCTAATTATAATTAGCGTTCCTAAAGGATTGTTGCCCCCCATTTATTTTTTTCCACCTTTTTTGGTTTTATTCCTATTTTGTAATGCCTATGGGAGATGTATATACATCTCCTCTCTTGTATGAAGAAATGTGATGACTTTTGAGAGTTTTTCATTGTCTTATTTTCTACATTAATCCTTATATTTTCTTATAAAAATGGCGGCGGAGAAAAGCTGATATCTTTTGATGATTTATATGATGGGATTGATGCTAAGATATAAGATAAAAGATTTAAGGAATTTTTTTGAGTGTTCTAGAAGCAAATATCCGACCCCATTTAGTGTGATAAAAGCTTGTTCTTGTTGTTGTTGTTTTTCTAAAAGCAAATATAAAATTTCACTGCTAAAGATAAAAACAAGAAGAAAAACTTAAAAGTAGTTTGGAATATCATTAGGAACCAAAAAATGAGATATATTTGATAAGTCACTAGAAAATTCATCTAATAGATCATGAATCTTGATTCAATTTGAATATCTTAAAGCGCTTGGTTAGATAAAGTAGAAACTTTTGGGGTCGACTCTAGGTTCATTTGAACTCCACTTTTAGCAAGCTTAAAATCAAAATGAGTCCAACTCAATGATACCGAACACCTTGATCCAAGTCCAAATGAACCTAATTCAGGTACCTGGAAGCATGGCCAAAAACTTATCAAGACTATTTAAAGAATCAAATGTCCAATGAATCTTGTTTGGTTATAATCAAAACATTGATTTTGACAAGAAAATTTTAATGGGCCCATGATATTTCAATTATGATATCATTAAGGCATTTTGATGTTTAAAAACATTTTATGATGAAATGGATCAGTACGAATTGTCCATATACTGCTTTGAATACTTTTAAAAATGATTAAAATGTTCTTCATAAATCTATAAATAGGTCCTACTTTTAAACAATGAATAAGGGGGCGGACAAAGGCTGAAGGAGGCCAGGAAGTGTTTTAGAGAAGAAAATGTAATGCTTTATTTACCGACACCTAATGCCTCGCATCAACCATTGCTGGCATCCGTTTACCAGCATTGACATTAATTATTGATTCCAACTTCAACACAAATGCCAAAATCCCGCCATCGCTAACAAGGCTGGTATCCACCTTCGATATAAATGTTGATGCACACTATCATGAATAAGGTTGCACCCTCTAATTTCAATAAGGCTAGCGTTCATCATCAACAGTAATGGCAACATTTGATATCATTTTCATTAAGCGCAGCTATCAGCATCCTTTGTGAAATAAGTTTAAAAAAAATTGACAGTGCATTTATCTGGTTTCTTTGCTGGGTTGGGGAAATTTTGAATAGTCTTTTGTTTCATGATCCTCAATGTTAAAAGATATATTAGAAAGGCGATTAGTTGTTTTTATCATATTCTATGTACAATTAACTTTATCGATATACATCACACATACTTTTTAATCTTTAAACCGAAGTAAGCCCTTAGAATAATTCATAGCTTTTTCATAGAGCTGTCTTGATTGGCCTGCATCAAGCGTTATAAATTTATTATGGGTCTATATTTCTGACGTAGGGTCTGATCTATGTTTTCTCTATAACAGTGCTGTTCTTATTTTATGTTTCATGGAATGGATGCAACCATATCACAGTCAATTTTTATGTTTCTCCCTGTTTTATATTTTGCAGAGAGCTATATATATCAGGTAAGGTCCTCAAGTCCATATGAAAAAACTTTTCTAAACATTTTATTGGTAAGTGATCTTTTCTTGCTTTGGTTTTATTATTTTTTGCTTGCGCAGCTAGATACATTGAACGAGAACGAGCTACTTCGATCAGCAGATGATGTAAGAGAGCTGTGAACTGGTTCTTGTTGCTCAAAACATATAGTTTTGTGGTTATTTATTGCAATAATTCAACAAAAATGTTGCATGTGCTAATCATATAATTTTCTGTTGATGCAACGAAGACTTCAGAGAATTCTTGCCATAAATGGTCATCTCGTAATCCCTTTGAACCACTTGTTCATCTTCTTCAACAGCAGGGACTAATGACAGAGAGGTCTGAATCTTTTATTTCTTATCTTTTGATGTTAAAGAGTTTTATTGGAAGCAGCTCTCAAGTGCGATCCGAATGTCAATTTCTTTCTTTTTTTTTGTTTTATTCAGAATACAGAACGAACTCAACCTTGGTGTTGAATATTGGAAACTAGAAAGGAAACTTTGTGATGGATTAACAAAGAAGAATACAACGGTATATGACCGTTTACTTTCCTGTTTATTCTTATTGCCGTGTTTCCACAGTATTCTGTTGCATCGGCCGTTCCATATTCTTACCCATTTACATTGCTTTGTAGAAGAAATGTCATGTTATTAGGGAACAAACCCAACCAAATACATATAAATAGAAATTATGTTCACAGGCATCAATAATTTAGATGAAATCAAAATCTAAGTGCTAAAATAATAACTAGGGAACAAGCAATCTCAACTGCTTAATCGTTAGCTTATCATAAGGGTATGTTTATTTGATTTGTTCAAGGATAGGCTAGCATAACAAGCAAAATAAAATTTCATAAATTTACATGTTACCAAACAAATTTTCAGTTGACAAGTAAACTTCATGGGATTTATAATTTTCTAGGTAGTAAAGCAAGCAAGCAATGGATTTTTCATCTGTTCAATCATGCGTCGATCATTCATAGACACATTGGCAAACTAAATCACGAAGTACTGGATGGATACTTGGGTTCACATGATACCACCGTTCTACACGCACTTCCCACCGATATAATCACACACAAAGCTGTATTGAATCCATAGCATCACATTTGATGGGTTGTCTCCTGCACATAGTAGCACTCCTATGTTGGTCTCAACATCCACGCCAACTTTACGAAGGAAGTCAAACACCACCATGACATCCTCACATGAATTGGATTGTTTTAACAAAAAAGTTTATGTTACTACCGATAAGTGATGTTCAAGATTGTTGCATATGGGAAAATTTGCGGTTGTAGAGTGGAGAATAACATTTTAGTTATTTACGAAGATCCAATGTGCACAGAAAAAAGAAGAATTGTCGGGGGGGGGGATTCATAAGGCCTGATATAATTGAAATGTTTCTACTATTCTATGTCATGGGTTACAAATAATGCTCTTCGAAATATTTGAGGAAGTCACAGACACAAATTTTATTAGAAGTATTACAGTATTGAAGTTGGAGATGTCTATAGTCATTGAAATTTTCTTCAAGAGGTTGTTTTTGGAATGTTTGATCACCCTTATTTGAGAAGAGTAGTCGAGAGACTAAAATTAATGTGCTTTGGCCATATTGGCGATTAAGCATGTCGATATTATTGTCAATGGGTGTCAACATTAGTGTTGACATGTGTCGGCCTAATGAGCAATGGCATATGTGGATGTTTTAGGTGTGATGTTGTGCATCGATGACATTCATCAACTTTATAGGTGATGTCTTGTGTCAATGACATGTATCAGCCTTAGAAACAACATGATCCATCAACAGCATACATCAAGCTTAGAGGTGATTGTGGGCAATGAGGTCATCGAGCAATGGTGTCCATAGTTGGCTACGGGTTTTTGGCTACTGTAGTATAATGATAGAGGTCAAATGATTGTAAACAGGTGACCATAGTTGGGTGTAGTGGTTGAGCAGCTATAGACGAGTGACTATCATCACTTGTCTATAGATAGACAAGTGACTGTGGTTTTCTCTCAAGGAATCACACACCAATACTAGTCTCATCATCCACCCTAGCTACATATATTGAGTCTAAAACCACCTTAACATATCCACACATGCATTGAAAAGTACTAGAAATGGAAATTTATTGTGTTAGAGTTCAGAATGCAAACATGCCTGAAATCTTTTTTTAATTATTGTAGTTGAATGGAATGCAAATGCATTTATAAATTTATATGAAAGAATAGAACATTATTTTGTGATTGGCTATGATTTCTTCCAAATTTGAACATATGTTTTGCAATTGTTTCTCGAAATGAATTTTTGAATATATTTTTTGCTTTTAGCTATACAAAAATTTTTGTTGAACAATATGAGAGAAGAATAGATATTCATCTTTTTCTTGTTCATTTATGGTAGAAAGAGTATACTATCTAATAGTCCAAGTTGAGTCTAAAGTAGTAAGGCAACAATGGAATAAAATTAGGCCATAATCAGCCAATAAGGTGGAAAAAATAAAAAATGAAATCAACATATTTTTTTTTCCGATCAATGTAGCAAATAATCCTATTATATAATTTATTTTCTAGATCCTCACAAATATTAGCATCATACTTCAGTATCAAATACTAAAAATATACAAGAATATATGACTGGCAGAAGTTCAAAATGAAGAAAAAAATGACCACACATGTTGGAAATGTAGTTCCTTGGAATTCTTAAGAAAACCAAAGTTAACTATAGATTTCTTTGATACCGAAAAGTATACCAAGTTGATCATACCAATTTGATCGTATAAGACCAAAGAACTTTGATTGATAGAACTTTGTTTCTCGATCTCTTTAGTTCTTGAAACAAACATTGTTCTCTTTTCCTAAATAGATCACAATCAGCAAGCAAACAGTCACAAAATGGTAAGAGATAGAAAGCAAACTCAAAAGAGGCTGCTCTTAACAAACAAACAAAGATAAAAAAGCAAGATATAAGGGTGATCTACTATTCGAGAGGTAGATTGACTCTCACATAACCCTATACGTTGCTAGGAACACCAAACCCAAAAGAAGAAAAACACAACACCCAACAAAACATCAATAAAGAAAACAAACCCTAGGTTCCTTCTCTTATTAGAATCCTCTCACAACATTTGAAAACTTTTCTTTTCCACTTTCCCTCTAAATCTGTTTTAATTTCTCCTCCTTGAGTATATAATTAAGCCTCTCGTGGACCCCACCTACCTCCGCCCCTTTCTGTTGTAGCAAGGTGCCGCCCGACTTATTCTTGTGAACAGGATCGACTCGCCTGGTGCTGTGACGGACCGTTGCTTTGGCTTTCGACTGGTCCAGAAGAGATTGTCTAGGAACGGGTGTGATACTACTCTCCTCTCAAAGAGGTACCTTGTTCTCAAGGTGGAAGGATGAAAACTGTTTGTGGATCACCTCGTAAGACTCTCATGTTGCTTCATAGTTTGATAGTCCCTTCCATTTAACCAATACCTCCTTTGATCCCTGTGCTCCTCGGCGCACTCCTTCAATCTCTAGCGGCTCCAGAATAACTTCCAGTCCTCCGTCAGTGTTGGTGATAGTGTAGACGAGGGTGTATGATCTCCAATCACACATCTCAGTTGTGATATATGGAAGACCGAGTGTAGTGCGAACAATGATGGTAACTTTAGATGGTAGGCCACTGTCCCGATGAGTGCCATCACCGCATAAGGCCCAAGGTATCGCGATGACAGTTTCTCGCTTCTCCTCCTGGCCAATGTCTTCTGTCGGTAAGGCCTTAGTTTCAAGTAGACCATGTCTCTTGGTTCATTTGCACCTCTCTCTTGTATCCGTCCTCTCCTTCAAGTACAGATCGATGCTGGATATCAGTGTGGTACCGTACCCATAATGTATTAAGTGAGGTGGATCTCGCTCATATAATATCTTGAAAGGGGTTGTTCGTGTTGTGGTGTGGTACGAAATATTATACCAATATTTTGTCCATGCAATCCACAACTCATAGCTTCGGTGTATCGAATACAAAATAACACAAGTATGTCTTGGCACTTCTGTTGACCTCCGTTTTTCCATCGGTCCGGGAATGATATGTGGTGCTTCTTTTAAGGGTTGTCCCTTGCAATCTTAATTGCTTCTTCCAGAAGTGGCCGAGGAACATCTTGTCCCGATCCGATACAAATCGATTATGACACCCTGATGCAAACGGAACACTTCCCAGATTATCACAGTCACGATTGAGACCGCAGTGTAGGTATGTATTAAGGGAATGAAATGTGCATACTTAGGCGATCCACGACCATCATGATCACCGTGAATCCTTCCAACCGTGACAACCTCTCGATAAAATTCATCGTCACTTCTTTCTAAACCTTTCCTGTTAACGCTGTGATTGTAGTAACTATCTTGGTGTCGTGGCCAAGTACTTGTGCCACTTGTATACATTACATTTTGCAACCATGTCCTGCACGCCTCTGCCCATCCTCACCCAATAAAGTTCTGCTGTCAGACGATTGTAGGTCTACTGCACTCTTGAGTGTCCCCCGATTGCACTGACATGAAACTCTTGTAATAATCTGGGAATATACTCCGACGACTTGGGTAGCAAGAATCGCTCTTAGTGGAACAGTGCCAGCCCCCTCAATGCATATCATGGATGACTGTTCGGATCCTGTAGTAACTTTGCTCTTATTTTCCTCAGCCGCTTCTCCCTTTTGCTCTTCTGTCTCGAGGCTTCCCAATCTCGGACCAAGGGGGACCATTAATTGTGGTTCCTCCACCCTTCTCGGCAGTGCGTCAACTGCTAATCATACCCTAATGGCTTGGATAGTGTTCTCTAATGCTCCACAGTCATCATCTTTTGCTCCAAAAAAGCTTTAAACTTCTCTGATTTGTCCTGAACAAACATATCATCTCACAGGTAGGGCCGTCACTTTTGAATGACCAAGACAATTGCTATTAATTCTCATTTATATACTGACTTTAGCCTCGCTCTGGTTGTAAGAACCTAGCTGAAGTAGGCAATCGACTGCTAATCTTGCATCAGCACTGCTCCCAAATAGTACCCTGAGTCATTCGTCTCCACCACAAATAGTTTACTGAGATCTGAAAATGCTCACACTACTACGCTTGTCATGGACCTCTTCAGATGTTTAAATATTTGTGTTGTCGTTTCCCCTCATTTGAAATTGTCTTTCTTCAACTGCTCTGTCAATGGTCATGCTATCGTGTTATATCCTCTCACAACTTCTAGTAGTAGTCGATGAGACGCAATAATCCTCTCAACTCATTCAAACTCCTTGGTAAGGGCCAATCAACCGTAACCTTGATCTTTGACTGATCCACTGCTACCCTCATTCAGGTCACCACATGTCTTAGGTACTCCACATATAACTGTGAAAAGAACATTTCTCCAAGTTAGCATACAACTGGTGCTCATTCAACGTCTCTAGGACTGTCCTTAGGTACCCCGCATGATGCATCTGTACGAATGTAGATCAAAATGTCATAAAAAAAGAGTAGGACAAATTTTCGGATATAAGGTTGAAAAAC